TTTTAACATTTTAGAAAATCAATGAAATTTTTTAACACAGTTGAGCTGGTCTGGCCCAGTCATTTTGGGAATTTTAATTTTTACGAATTTTCTGTTTTTTATTTTGCTTAATGTTATTTTTTGCAAATATTTGCAAAAAATTACAAAGCAGTCAAATGACATTTGAGCAAAAATGTATTAAATATTTAATTAATATTTTTTACATAATATCATATATTTGCAAATCTCTATAAATATTTTAATTTCTGCTTGTATTTTTATAGGTACTTACAAAAATTATAATATTTTGCATAAACTTATTACGTTTTCCAAAGTTGCAGTTTATATAGACAGGTCGAAAAATATTTCTCACGTCGATTCGATAGCCGCGGTCGTTAAGCGTTTAGATAGATAGGTCATAGGTACGGGGTTCGATTCCCATAGGGTACAAGTTTTAATTTAATACTTCCAGTTTAATTAAAATGTTTGTATGTCTGGAGCGTGCTAAGAATATAAAGTTATTAATGGTCATAAGAATCTTTTATTATTTTTTCCACAAATATTTTTTTTCAAAAATATCTGCTCAATTGTTACCACCTTGGATTTCCAATTGTGAATCGATATCCAAGTTGAAACAAGTTCATGTTGTACAATGTAACCTATTTGGAATTTCCTGTTGACTGTAATGTTCAAACTGAGACCAGTTCATTTTGAACTTGACATTCCAAATTCAAACCAGCTGAAAATACTTATCTACTGGTTTGAAATTGGAACTTACGTGACAATAACCAACTTAAAGCAAGTAGGCTCCTGATTCTACCCGGTTCTACTGGTTCTTTAATATAGGGAAACCAGCTTGTTGGAAACACAAAACTCGCCTGCATAAAGCACAACTTAACCTATTTGTATATTTTACGAAAAAGTTTGTGTTTTCTATAAGAAATTTTTTTCCGTGTGGGATTTCAACTGGAGGAATATCCTCTCTAATTAGGTCTTTCTGAAACTTAATGAATTCTGGTGTGGATGGATCTGTTGAGATGTTTGTGCGAAGTTGTCCAGATCGGGAAGATAGCGCTTTGACGGTTCTCCATAGGGTGGACATACCTCTAGATGGGGACATGTTCTCACAAAATTCCTTAAAGGCTAAGGATCTTTGTTCCCTAAGAGACTTCTTTATTTCAGCATTTTTGCGTTTGAATTCCTCTCTATTACTCATTGATTGATTAGAGTGATACCATTTAAAATTCTCCCTCCTGAGAGAAAGAAGTTTGTCGCATGTAGAATTCCACCAGAGTGGCTTTGAGATGGATCTTATAGATTTAGTTTTAGGGATAAAAGCTCCTGCTTTAATGAGACTTTGTTTAAGGTGGTCGGTAAAAGAGATATAAATCTCAGCTGGAGAGATCCCTGTAGAAAGTTGGTTGGTGAGATCTAAAGAATACTGATCCATAGAATCGCGATATGTAAGCCAGTTGATGCATTTAAGACAAAATCTGTTGCTAGGAGGAAGAACATGGTCGGGTGAAATATCTGCTCTAAATATAACTGGGAGATGATCTGAATTATAATGATCCTGGCTGACGTTTTTGAATGATGACTGAAGAATGGTTGACGAACAAAATATTAAATCCAGGTTGCTACCCATGACATTGGCGTCCCAAAATCTAGTGGGGATGGAATCATTGGAAACAAACAATTCAGAGTCCATGGTAAAAGTTTCCAGCGAGGAGCCTCTAAGGTTTGTGGATATATCACCCCAGCTGGTGTGATGGGAATTAAAATCCCCACAAAAAATAGGATTTGTTTGTTTTGGGAGTAAATCGAAAATGGCTGTCCACTCGTTTGGGGGAATATCCCCACCTGGGGGAGCATAGATGGTTGTGATTTGACTTTTACCAAAGAGAGTATGAACAGAGATCGAAGCTATGTCGATTTGTAAGTCATTGACGTGGTGTGTAAAAGTGTTAGAAATACGAAACTTGATCTCTTTTCGAACCAGTAGCAAAACTCCTCCTCCTCTACCATTGGGACGATTCTGTCTGACCGAAATATAATTTGGTAACTCAAAAACTGAGTCAGGGGTAAGCCATGACTCTGTGATACAGACTACATCAGGATTGTATTGCCAGAGAAGAGTCTCTAATTCTAATCGCTTGGGGAGGATGCTTCTAGCGTTCCAGAGAATGAGTGTCAGAGATTTGTGAATGGCTGCTGGTTTAGTCATTTTATATATAACTAGCTGTCGTACCCATCTTCGACGGGTTTTAGTTTCTACTGATATATTTGAACAGGTGTCTACCAATTGGGAATTTAATTTGACTGGGAAAAACTAATAATTAGTTACCATTAACTATTTCATTATCAAAATATTACCATTTGAATCAGTAAATGACTTTTTCTATCAAATACTATTTTTAACTAATTCAGATTTACAGAACAGTATTTGTCAATTTGTAGTACTTTATGCGTTCGTAGTATTTTAATTAATGCATTAATAATTAATACTAATTTTCCACCAGCTTTTGGAGTTATATAAGAGTCTAATTCGAACTAATTGTATCGCAAGTAGGCCCCACGTTACGACTGCTAAAATCAAAAATAAGACCTATATTGTAATCTGAAAGTAGGTCTTAAATTTTGACAAATAAAAATATTACATCAATAGAAATTAAAGCAAAAACAATTTTTTAAAAATAAATTAATATAATAAAACTTTTTTTAATTAGATAAGAAAATTCCCGATTTTTCTAGTCGAATTAAATTCCCGGCTATTTCTCGGGATGCCTTTCCGATTAATAGACACTCTGTTAAATGTATTAGTAGAAATTATAACACGTTTTTGATTCCCACATGGGAAATCTACATGGGATCTACTTTTATAAAGGAAACCATATTGATTCCTATGTAAAACCGTATGGTATAATTTTTCCATATCCCTATTAAAAATTTCCACATGGGATTTTACATTTTACCCGTTTTTGCGTAATGCCCGGATAGAATTTTGGAAAGCAACACCATACCCCAAACATTTCTAAAATTCAAGAAGAACAATTTTAATTCATAAATAGGAATTTGTTATTTATTTTCAAAGTCATTTCTAAAACATTTCTTGAATTCAAAAAAAAGAAAATTTTGATTCATAAATCCCAATTTGCCCTAATGGCATCTTAAGGACTTTCTGTGTCCCAGTGCCCGCTGAAGTCAAATTTCAGTATTATTGATACTTTTACTGTATACCCTTTATATTGAACATAAATATTTTATTTTCTACGTTAAATATGATAATACATACTATGAAATTTTCAAACTTAAAACCTGAAAATATCAATATAGAAATTGCAAACTCTCACGTTAATTGATTTTAGAAAATTTGTAATTGGCATCAAATTCATGACTCTAAACTTTTTAATAAAATAAATGTAATGAATGTAATTAAAAATTTAAAAACATCAATCGATATCACTACCAACTTAATAAAAAATTAAACAATATTCAACAAAAAAAATTAATTAAAAATTTTGTTGAAAATCAAAAATATGATTTTGGCTTAAAAATTCGGATTAATTATTTATATTTCATTTTTATAGTAAAAATTAGTTGTATTTACATTAAAAAGTAGCTACAAAAGATGTCACATCAATTTGACAAAAATTTAAAAAATTTGCATTTTTTTGATTTTTTGAATTTTGTGAAAAAAGCTATAACTTTCGTTCAGCTTAATATTTTTCAATCGGATATGGCTATAAATTTAAGTTAGACTAATACCTAAGAGACTATAAAGTTTCGCTTTAATCGGTCAAGTAGTCTTTGTGTTTATCCCGGACAAAATATTGCGTACAGACATACATACATACATACATACATACATACATACATTCATACATACATAATTTTTTTTATTGTCATTTTTGGAATTCTTACTACTCGAATAAAAAAACTAAACATGAAATTTCAAATTCTATGCAATGTACAGACAAAAGTCTGATCTTATTTATAAAGATTTGTCAATTTAGTCAGAATTAGACTTGGATAAAATAAATTTGTGTATAAGTAGTTACATTAATTGTTATATAGTCGGGATGGATAAAATAAACCAAAAAATAACGAAAATACGATAAACAAATCCAATTATGAAAAATTATTAAATAACTCCTTTACAGTTAAACTCAATAGTTATGATTAATTAAGTCTGGTTAAAATTTATAATTAGAGTCAATGTGTTGGTAAGGAGTCACGATATGAAATTAAATATTGGAAATAAATCCTACACGGAAAAAATCTTGGGTGACGTGCCGTTCCAAGTAGACCGAAAATGTACGAATGCGATACGACTTTAGTTTGGAGGAGCTGCATTTCCAACTTGGGCGTGCTGAACGCCCAAGATGCGGCTATTGCAGTCCCAAGGTTTTGAGTCTCAAATCTTGGGTGTTCAGCGCCACCAACATGGGAACGTAGATTTCCCGAATTGAGAACGTAGCACATCCAAACTATAGTTCCCCCACTTTTCGACGATTGGGATTGCACGTCACCCAAGATTTTTTCCGTGTAGTCAATATAACAAAACCTAGGAAAAAGCAAAAACAAAAAAACAAAAATTAAATAAATAAATAAATAAAGCAAATAAACGACAATAAACAATCAAAAGAACAAACGAATACACAAGCTTACGGATAAATAAATAAGCAAACAAATAAGATAAAAACAATACTTGAGAGGACGGTAAAATTCTGTAATTAAATATGCTATTATGCTTATTTATTTCTGTTGTGTTTTTATACTTTATAAATAATTTTTTACAGCGTTACAAAATAATTGTAATAAAAATTTTAATTGAAAAAGAAATAAATAAATTTCGTTCATTTGAATGTTCAAAACTTTAGGATCATTTCAAAAAGAAAGTTTTTGTAACTAACAATTAGCTCCAAAATTTCATACGCTTGTAGTTATACTACTTATTATCATTTTAAAAAGAATCTAAATTCTTTTTTGAAAAATTAGCAAAAAAAAATGATGACACTTACTTTTACTATTGCATCCAAAATCATAGTGGGAATACTAAGATTGTCATTATCTCGTTCCCAAAGTACTTCGTAAGCTTTTTCCCTGACGAATCCTGGAATTTCAAATGTTTTAACACCCGGGTATTTGACTGCTGGCGGTGGTGATAATCCATCTTCGTCTCCCAATTTCACGGATCTTTCTCTCGTTGTAACAAAACATGTTCTCACTTTAATATCCTCTACTACTCTATCCGCTAATTCTAAATCCGGTAGAGCGTCTTTCATTTCTTTCCTAATAGAACTGAAATACAAAGTGAATAAACTTTTTGGAACAATAGAAAAATACTAATTAAAAAAATAAATACTAATAAAGAAGAAATATTAATAAAAGAAGAAATATTAATAAATAAAGAAATACTAATAAGAAAAATAATTTACTCATGAACGGCACGACTGGCAAGAGGAAGAGCCTGCCAGGCTTTTAAAACAGGAATCCCCTCGAAAATTGGAATTAAAACCGCCTCCTCGTAACCAACATCGAGAACAAGTGCCGTTTCAGTACCCAAAGTGCTTATTGCAACAAGATGTGAGGATAAAATCATTAGTGAACCAATTTCAAAGTGACGAAACAAAACTTTAGCGAGTGTGTCACGAAATTGTGTTGTCGTTAAAAGTGACTCCAATACAACGACTTTTACATCCTTTGGACTAATTACTGCATGCCTAAAAAATAGAACTCGAAAATTAAATTTTCTTCCCTTCATAACCTTTTTGATAAAGTAAATAAAATAAATAAAAATATTAATTTAATATTTTAGGGTAGCCACATGTCAGTAAAGTCAGTAAAGTCAGGGAAATGACAGGAAAACAAATTTTTTGTCAGGGAAATTAAGAAAATTGAGACTTTTTTCGACTTATTTTCCAAAATTGCGACTTTTTCGATTTTTCTTCCAAATATTCCAACAAAAAACCACAATTTTTAGTAAAAAAGTGCAACTTATTTCGATTTTTATAGTGCAAAAAATAACTATAAACAAATCTTTAAAAAATTATTTTCGAATAATTTTTTAAGATAATTAAATTGAGGGTACCAATCAAAGAACCGGTTATAATTTTTTTAAGCTCAAAATTATTGCTCTGAAGTCAAAAATTAAACTGTTTTTAATCCCAATTTTTTGAGAAACATATTGGTAATCTTTATACGAAAACGAAATGTTTTCAAGAAATTGAAATTTTAAATTAGTATATTAAGCAACAAGGGTATAAAGGCAGCCATTTGTTTACGGTGATTTTTGTGACACGAGTGTCACAAAAATTGGCTGCCTTTATTCCCATGTTACTTACGATATTTTTTATTCCTAATGCACAAAAGTGGCGATTTCAGATAGCAGACGACAGGGAATAAAAGTCAGTCACTTGTTCGACTTATATGAAAATGGCGGCCGTTTTCTCCCTTGGGCAAAAATAACGCATGGGATCAGCGGTTATGTTTGCACATGGGAGAAAATGGACGCCATTTTCATATGGTCGAACAAATGAGTGACTTTACTCCCCGTCGTCAGCTATCTAAAAGCGCCATTTTTGTGCATGTGGGATAAAATATACTATTTTATTCAGAGGTCGAGAATTTTGAGTCTCAATAACTTATAACCGGTTTTTTGATTGGGTCCCTCAATTTTTCAAATGTATCTATAATAAAAATCTTTTTGAATAATTGAAAATTTTGAAAATTATTGAATTATCAAAAATGTTAATTGAAAAAATCTTTAAATGTAAATTTAAAAATGAAAATTAGCTTCTAATTTTTTAACGTTCATTATTTTCAGTATTTTCAATTCAATATTTTCGAAAATTTAAATACATGCAAAAAATAATAACATTTTTGAATTATTTTCATCATTTTGGAGAAGAAAATCATGTTCAAAACTTTTAATTAAAGTTTTTTTAAATTATACAAAAATTCTCTTAAAAAATTCAATTATTTTCGAAAAATTAAATAAAAATATTTTTAAAAACTAATATTTTTAAAATTGTTTTATCATAATTTTTTAAGATTCAATTATCTTCGAATAAAGTAGATAAAAATTTATAAAAATTTATTTTTTTGACTTATTAAAATTTCGGAGAAATCATGGTCATATTTATGATTAAAATTTTTCAAAAATTAGATTATTTTTATTTAGGATATTTTTAAAAAATTCAATAATTTTTAAAAGATTTTACCGAACTTTAATTGTTTGAAAATTTTCCAATTGTATATATAATTAAAAAACAATTATCTTTTAAAATATTTTTAAAAATTAATTGTAAGAATTTCTTTATTACAATTTTTTGAAAATATTATACCTTTCAATACTTAAGAAAAAAACATGGACAGTTACAATTATTATAAAAAATTGATTTTTATGTATTTAAATAATTGATTTAGAGATGAAGTTTAGTTGAAAGTTGTAGGAAATAATTGAATTCAGGAAGGGTTATAGGTAATTGTAATTTTTAGAAATTATTAAAATTCACAAATTTTACTCATTTTCCGTAAACTTTCATGTTTTCCTGTAAACAGAACTTTGTCAGGAAAAATATTTTTAATGTCAGTAAATTGATAAACTGAAACTTGTGACGACCCTGTATTACAAATATAATAATAATTGCATTAAGAAAAATAAACGTTATAAAATTAAAGTCAATAAAATATCAAATTTTTTTGTTAAACTTTATATATTGCAGTAGTGACTTCACTACCGTTACTTTAAGTGAAGAAGAAATTAACACTTACTTGAAAAATAAAAAATGTAAAAATTCCACAAGAAGTTGATACAAGTCTTCAGTGTCCTTATAACTGAAAATTCGACGAATCTCCTTCGCCTCAGGACACTTAACCTCTGTTTTTATAATTCCACGAGGACTCGGTTCACCCGCGAATCCAAATCTGTGTAAGAAATTACAATAAAAATAGGGAAAAATGAATTAAAATTTAATAAAAAAAAATTGTAAAATTTAATTTATCACATTGGAAAATGAAAATTACTTTGTATACGCATTGCCAATGTCGAAAACAACGACTTGCTTGTCAGAGGCATATCTTATTCCTTCATAACTCCTTAACATTTTCCTCGAATTATTATTTTCCTTACTTTAGAGTATTTAATAAAAAATTAAATCACTACAATAGTAATAATAATATAAAAAATAGTTGTTTACATTTTACACCATTAAAGAAGTGATTAAAAATTTTTGACAGTTTTTAGTACTTCTACTTGTTGTCAAGAGGGCGCAACAAGACATTGACGCAAGTACGCATGCGCAAATTTTTAAGCGCGCGCATTTCATAATTTTCGAAATTGTTCGAAGCGCAGGTCACAGGTGAAATATATACACACACACTTTTTAGTTATAATATATGTAATAAAAAATGTTCCCAACAGTTTCTGTCGTACTTCTTTAAACGACACGCGCTGGACGTGCTGAAACATAAAAAAGTGAAAAAAATGTGGTTCACAAATTGTGCGTGTAAAGTTTTAATTTACATCAAAGGAAGGTAAAACAACATTTATAAAGGTAAGCAATTTGTACTCCATATTTTATTTGTTTTACAAACATTTAGGTGAATTACCGGCATTCTTTTTCATTATTTTCCAAATCTTATGCGCAAATATTTATAGAAAAAATTAATAATTCTTACTTCTTATGAATCATATAGACATAACCTATATGTACAAAAGTTTGCTTTTGACATATACAAATATTTTCGAAATATAAAAATTATTTTGACAAAGGGAAAATCATCGATAAAGAGAGAAAAGTATTTTCCAAATATAAGAAACTCTTTATTCTACTTTCCATTTCTTTTCACAAGTTTAGAGAAATGAAAAGGTTGTAAATAATTTGCATTCTATATGGACATTGATTTTCAATCGTTTGTTATTTTATTTTGCCAATTGATGCGTAATAATATTGTATAGAGTAAATATTGATTATTCTATTTTCATTCCTTTTAAGTTATGAATATTAAAATACTTTTAATGTAGTTTAAAAAATCGCTAGTTTGTGTTATAAGGTAATATTAGGGAAATAAGTTGCAAAATTATTGTTCAATTAGGAATTGATTTCAGATAACCTGCTTTAACCACGTGTTCGACTGACAGTATTTCGAAGGCGTTATTACGAAAATTATCAAAATAAAAAGAATATCTATTAATTTCTTTTCTATTGTTTAGGTATAATTTCTTATTGAAGAACATAAAATATTTCTAATTTTACCATTTTTATAATTAAAAAATGGTAATAATAAAAAAGATGGTAATAATAATTGATAATCATATTTTACAAATAAATATATTATGAAAAATTTATTAAATTTGTAGTAGAATTTATTAATCTATATTGCGTTTAATTATTACATTAAATTGCATTTATTATACATATTGAAAAACAATTTAAATTAATAACGAATAAATAACAAATGAATATCAAATAATTAACAAATAATAATAACAAATTTAGAGAAAAGAATTGTAATATTAATATTTATCTCTTTTTGACACAAAAAAATTCGAAGGTCAAATACATAAAAAGGTGTTTTCCTATTAAATAAAATAGAAAGCATAATAAATATTTTTCTTTTTAGTGGTAAAAGTTAAAGTTTTCTATATCAATTGCAAAGTATAATATTTTCACATATATTGGAAAAGAAAATAGTTTATTTACCTTTCTGTTTACTATAATTCATTAATTCCACATGTATATATATTATATAAGAAAAAAAACAATTTAGTTTATTATACGTCGAAAACAATAATTTAGTATTGACATTTATGAGTAAAAAAAATTTTTTTATTTGTCACTTAATTTAATCGTTTTGATATACTTTATTTCAAGTTCAATGTTTTAGAGTTGAAGGTCAATGAGTTAATGAGAATTTTTGGTCTAACAATTGAAACTCATCAGGTGGAGTTTTTCCCTAATGTAATAATTTTCTTTGAAAAAAAATTCTAAAAATATTTTTCTCGCCCCCCACTTAAAATGTTATTTGCGTCATAATCGTATTGATCATTTATTACACTGGTTTACAGTGAAATTGTCAATCGAACAAAACATTTCTTTTTCGAATAGTAGGTGATTATTGAGTAAGAAAATCATAATTTTAATTTTTTTCCCTCGTGCAGTTTTTCTGTAGCTTCAAACTTTGCATTTTCGAGGTAAAACGTCACTTAAACTTACCTGTAGGAAAATTAGCTTATCAAAATATAATAAATGTGGTTTCATTGGAAAGGTTATTAAATTACCTTTCGATCCATAGGTCACAGAATAAAATTCAATGAAAATTGAGAAAGTTACAGTCGATTAAAGATCAAATTTTATGCCAATTTTGATGATTTTGACACCTAAGTAACTTCTACTATTTTTTTCTACATCAAACAGGAAAAAATGTTTAGGTTTTAGTTTTTTTAATGATAGACAATATGATTACAAAAATTTTGAGCCCTTATGGACCTCGATTGGATTAAAAATGACAATTCTACACTAAATTTAGTGAACGAAACTACTTTCAGCATTTCTAGTATCCCATAAACATTTGCAGCAAAAATTCAAGTAATAAAATTTAGTTAAGCCCTAAAGTGACTAAAATCACTAATCAAGGGTTTCAGATGTCGTAGATTTTGAATCCAATGTTAGTTTTTCAAATTTCAAAATGGCGGATCCAATATGACGGACAAGTTTTTTAAAATCGATGAAATTCGTTTAAAATTCGTTACTCGGGGGTTTTCGGGGTCGCTGATGACAAATCCGATGTCAGATTACAAAAATTAAAAAAATTTAAAAAAATTCTACGAAAATACTTTAAAAAAAAATTATTTTCAATAAAATTGTACAAAATTCCAATTATTCAAAAAGATTTTTATTCTAAATATATTTGAAAAATTCAATTATCTTAAAAAACGATTCAAAAACAATTTTTGAAAGATTTGTTTATAGTTATTTTTCGCATTATAAAAATCGAAATAAGTTGCACTTTTTTACTAAAAATTGTTGTATTTTCTTGCAATGTTTGGAAGAAAAGTCAAAATTGTCGCAATTTTTGAAAATAAGTCGAAAAAAGTTCCAATTTTCTTACTTTCCATGACAAAAATATTTTTTTCTAACATTTTCCTGACTTTACTGACATGTGGCCTGTCTGTAATAATCTAAAATCTTTAAAATAATAAATTGTTTCGTTTTTTCGGTTTTGTGAAAAAAAAAAATGTTTTCGATGCTCAACATTGACACTAACTTTGCAGGGACTTTATTAATTTAATTAATAAAATTTTAATTTAATTTTAATTTTACTAATAAATAGTAATTTTTAAATTTTACTAATTTATTATTAAAATGTAGTAATTCAAAAGCAAAAAGTTAGTCACTGATTTAAATTAGTAAATATTTTTACTAATTCATAATACTTATAGTTTATTCTTGTTCGATTTTGATTTTTCCTGTATTCCAGATAGAATTTTGACTTTTTGACATTTATTTGTGAATATTTCCAATTGTAAACTTTTATTTGAAACATTAACATAACGTAAATTTCAGTTATTGTCAGAAATGGAAAAAGTCAAAAGTTTTGTATGAAAATTAGGAATGATTCCAAAATTTAGAAAGTGAATTAATAAAAATTCCTAAATGCTTTCAATATTGTCAAAGATTGCTGGACATGGCAAAAATCAGAATTTTTTTTCTGATAAATGTTGATAATGAGAATTATTGACGACACAATATTTTATTTGCCAATTTTAATTCCTCTTTTTTTAAAGAAGAATTTTTTCCAATAAATATTTAATCAAATATATGTCAAAATAAAGAGCCTTAATTAAAATGTAATACGCTCAAATTCCTGAAATAATTTTTAAATATTTCACTTAAAAAAGTGTATAAATATGTACTGTGAAAGTCTTTCGGGAATTAATGCTTCTGAAATTTTGTGTATGTATCATAATTTGTATAGTTTTGAAACTAGAAATTTTAAATAGGCAAAAGTGCCGGATTTAAACTAGGAATTAATTATTATCTATCTCATTGAACTATTGCAAATTTTGGTGTAAATGCAAAATTTTATCAGCATAAAAACCACAAAAAACTTTGCATAAATGATGTGTACAAATGTCAAAACCATGGGTTGTGCACGTCAAAACATTGTCATAACCTCTTTTTAGTTCTATTCCTTGCGGTCGCGTTCCTTGCATTTTACGAGCGATCGCGAGTGCTTCCGATTATACTTCGGCTTAGCCATTGCATTTTACATATGTGTGCAAGGTGTGCAAGCTCACCGATTTAGGCAATATATATAGCATATAGCAAACCACCTAAGCTTGGGACTTTTGGCCGCGAGGGGGCAGACTTTCAAAGGAAAGAGCGATTTGGAGCGATTTGCATTACGTGCGTACTCTCCTCAGTTTCTCTCTGTTAACAATAAATACACGACAATATTCACTTATTTTATATTTTTGTAAAGACTTTTTTCACAACTTCCAAATAACTACAATGAATAATAAATTAATGATGCAACAGATAATTAATTATTAATTTACTATTGTTAATTCACTACAAATTATAAATTAGTATTAATTGCTATTAATTATTAATTAAAAATATGTATCTGTAATAAATAATTTCAAATTATTATTATTTTTATTTAATTATTGTTATTTTTAAGAAAAGAAAGAAATTGGACACATCGTTACAGATTTCTAAAAATTATTCATCAAATCCAAGAATCGTTTACAAAAAAAAATTGATTGATTGAGAAATTATAAAACTTTGAGAATGATTAAAAGGAAAATGTACCTTGATTAAGTTTTGTATACAATTGTGAGGATTGTGAGCGAAAAATGTGAATGATCAATAAATCACTTTCGTTTTCTTGTTACAAAGCGCATGTAGTAAAAAAAATTTATTAGAATTGTTATTAAACCTCTGTGAGCGTAATAAGCAAAAGAAGAAAAAAACAAAAAAATTAAAAATTATCACTTTCTCAACTTTCTTAAATCATTCTATCTTTCTGTTGAACAGATGAGTGAGTCTGTGAAAGTAGCTGTACGATGCCGGCCAATGTCCCAACGTGAACTGCAACAAAGATGCAAGGTATAGAATATTAAAAAAAAAATCACATAAGAACCTGAAAATTTTTTATTAAAAACTTTGATGACATGCAGGAAATTAACAAAATTACAATATCGATCACCAGTATAAGTCGAAAAATTTTTATTTTAATTTAATATTTAGGTATTTGGATTTAAATTTAATTTTTGACTAATATTTACATTTAAATTAATTATTAAAAATTTAGATCAAAATATAATTTTTCAAAATTTATATTTAAATTTTTTTAATTTAAATATTTAACAAATTAAGAAACGATATAAACAAATTTTCACATTATATTAGGAAAAATGGTAAATTAATAGATATTTAAATATATTAAACAATTAAACATATTATGTAAATTAAATACGTATTAAAAAATTGAACAATATTGAATTATTTGCTCAAATTCTAGGTACTATTATTTAAATTGTCAATTATACTTTCTTCTATTCTATCTCAGAAAAATATCAACTTTTTTTCTTCAAAAAATTCTTAAATTTGAAATATTTATTATTATTTACTTAAATTCTATTATTTAAATTTTCAATTGGGATTTTTTTTATTTTGTCTTAGAAAAAATGCCATCATTTTTCTCAAAAACTTTTTAAATATGAAAGATTTTTATTTTCTTAAATTCTATTATTTACATTTTCAATTAGAATTTTTTTCTATTTTGTCTCAGAAAAAAATATTAATTTTTTTCTTCAAAAACTTTTTAAATTTCAAAGATTTTTATTTTTTTTTTAGTTTTATTTTATGGCACTGTAAAACAATATTTTTATTTATGTATGTTTTACAATTCTTTATAAATGATTTTTAACAATTAAATAATATATCATTCATTATTATTAATAATTTTTTATAAGCCTATTTATTATGTACATAAATTATTAGGTTATTGTCAATTTTTTCACTATTTTGTAATAAAAGGTGTAAATAGTTATTATCTTATTATCAATATATTATTACTAATACTAATACAAAATAATAAAATGAATTGTAAATGAAAAATATGAAATAAAAAAAATTTTGAATAAAACATTTTTATTACATTTTTGAAAGTTTTGTTCTCAATAATCATTTATTTCCACATTTGGTAATCAACGGCTTATGAAAATAACCACCCTCTCATATAATTTGTCAAATTTGTGAAAATGAGTTTCAATTTTTACGTAATTTTATCATTTCTATTCAAAATATAGAATTTATTTCTGTATTTTCAGCATTTTTTTCTATTTTTTTTCTATTATTTACTCTCCTTGCCTAAAGTATATTACGAACTTAGTAATATTTACCCAATAATATTGCTAAATAATTACAAAAGTCAATAAAATAGGGAAATAAATTATTCAAATATTCCCATATAATTTGAAATTTTATTATTTCTTTTTTTAAAAATTTCTTTTCAACATTTTTTTCTTTTTTTTTTTTACTTTTTTCACACTAATGGCTTTTTTATGTTTCAAATAAAATCAAACTATAAACATGTGATTTCTCTAATTTGCAATTTTTTAAATTTTAATTAATATTTTTCTATACAGTCTTAAAATAATTAACGAATAAATTTTAATTGGTAGCTTTGGATTTTTTAAATTTCTATATATAAAATATATCTATTTCAATAAAAATATATTAAATAATTTAGTATGTACTAAAATCATGACTTTGTAGTAAATGCGCTTCGATTAAATGCAATTTCACCTCGTTAGACTCACGATAATTATTATCATTATTATTATTATTATAAAATGCATCTAGGGCATAGCGTAATCTAGATTCCGCCAAGAAACTGAATAACAATTAAAACATTTTGATTTATTGCGTTATGAAAGCGTTAATATATATATATATATATATAACTTTGATTTATTTTTTTTTTATTTTTAATGATTTTTTTTTAGTAATTTTTTTTATTTTAAAAATTTTTAATGTTTTTGTTTATTTTTTAATTATTTATTTATTTAATATTTAGAAGGTTAGAGACTCTTTAGTACATATTTTTAAAAAATATTTTTTATATAACTCTTCAAGTTTTATTTGGAAAAAAAAAATTTTCTCTCTCGAATTTTTAATTAACAAAAAATTTTTCTGCCTATTTTTTTTAATTCAAAAGGTTTAAAAATTGGATTTAAATTAGAAATTTTTTAAACTTCGCGGATACAATTTTAAATATTTATAACAATCGACATTTTTTAAATCAATTTATTAAAATTTTTTACTGATATATTTTTTTCTGTAATTCAAAAGAATAAACTTAAATTGAAACCAAATTAACAATTTTTTTAGCTTCCTCTAAAATTAAAATTTTTATAATTTTTATGGGCGAAAGCTCATAAATAAAATATTTTAAATAATAAAAATAATTGATTTTTATCAAAGACTATTATATCACACTAAAATTGTAAATCCAAACAAAATAACATCACAATATAAAAATTTTTATATTTCAGTCAATGGAAAAACTTTTTCCTTAGTACATTTTTTAATTGCAAAATCTCATTCCCAGTATATTTTTTCTGAATCAATATACTTGAATATCAAGTTAAAATTAATAATTTTCTAAATCAATGCTTTTAAATGAATTAGAAATTATAATTTCTATATTCATTTTGATTACTAGATTTTATTATACCAGTAAATTTTTTGTCCAATTCAAAAATCAAAAGACTTGAAAATTGAGTGAAAATGACCAATTTTCGGAACTAATGCTAAAATTAAAATTTGTAATTTGTAATTCTTTCTTTAAAATTAAAATTTATTAGTTTAATTTTAATAAATAAAGTAAAATTTTAAAAAATTAGTTTAATTTCAATAATTTTAATTATTATTATTCTATTTTGTTAATATAATCGAATATAATAATAAAAAAATAAAATGTAGAAGAAAATTGACCAATTAATTAGTAAAATAAGTTTGAAAATTCCATTAAATTAAAAAAATGGAAAAAGGATTTTGTTTATAATTGAAAATTACATAGTTTAGTTTTATCTAAGAACCTAATGAATAATAAATTATGCAAAGAAGTAATTATCTAAATAAGCCCCTTATCTTAATTGAAACTAATTTATTGTAACAAACTGACTTTGGAAAACAAATTTTGAAGAGCTGGCAAATTGATTATAACTTTAAGAGCGAGTGCAACACGAAGAGGAAATCCCTTCAAATTAATTAATTTATTGTCCATCCCCCCTTCCCCCTCCACAGTTCAATTAACGCAATGTGCGTGTGCAATTTTTTATTTTTTTTTATTTTTTTTTCTTATCAATTTAGTCAAGTACTTGAACGTTATATCGAGCGAATGTAACTTAGCAACTACAGCAAAACATAGGGATTTTTTTTGTCTTTTAGTCACTGCATTTTTTTATATGCACACATATATTCTATCAAATTTATTATTCTGCATTTTTATTATAAAAAAAGAAAAAATTATATTAATATTGCATTTTTTCCTTCTTTCTTTTAACGAAAGGCATAAAAATTTTATTTAAAAAGTTTCCATAAAACTAGACACTCGGTGTACTATATTTACATTCTGAAAATCAAATACTTTAGTTGTTTTATCGATATACACACGTGTCTTATTATGACTATATATCGTTATTTATATGAAAAGAAAAGAAAGAAAAAGAAGAGAAAAAAAAGAAAAAAAAATTGTGAAAACTAGCGCTCAGGTGATATCGATTCGGCACATATTTCGCTCCATCGCATCGATATGGAAGCAGGTCGTTGCATGTCTCGAATACCCGCCTAGGCATCAAATTAACGATTGATAAAAAACGATTTGAGTTCCCTCTTATCATTAAATTGTTTATAGACACAATCTAAAGACTTTCATCAGCCTTCGACAATTCATTCAATATTAACATTATTCTTTTAAGTATTTATACAAAATTATTAAAATTCTAATATATTATTATTTGATTAGGAAAAAAAATATTCCACAATTTTTGTTTATCGAAATTATTTATTTATATACTTTTTTGTTTATAAATTTGGAACTTTATTTTTAGACTTTATTATGAATTAATGTGCTTTACACTACAAAGTTGCTTTACTATTTCACTATATTTTACATTTGTAAGTAAGTAAATGATAAAAAAAATTACTAAAATTTATGATATAATTAAAATGTATTATAAATTTATTAATTTTTCATTTTTATTATTATTATTATTATTATTATTATTATTATTATTATTATTATTATTATTATTATTATTATCGTCTTGTTTATTATTTATTTCATTTCATTTTAAATTTATTTATTTATTTCTCTTTCAATTAAAATTTGTATTACACAATAATTTTGTGTCACTGACAAAAAAGTAAATTATAAAGTTTCCAAATGTTAAATTAAAATTTTTTAATTTTTATTGCAATCGGTAATTTTTGAAAATATTTTTGATGAAACACATTTCGTACGTTGGTAAGGTTTACGTTTATAATCAACGATTTAATAGAAAAAATATTTTTCTGTTTAAATTTTTGTAACTTCGACACCAATTCAAAAAATGAAAATTTGTAAACAAAAAATATTGTTTTTTGAGTAAAAATGATTTTTTTTTCTTTCAATCGTTAGATTGAACGTCATTTCGTTCATTTGAACGTTCAAAACTTGTTGATCGTTATAAATAAAAAAGTCTATTTAAATACCTAATGCTAATAAAAAATCAAAGAAATAAAAGTAAAATAATAAAAGAAAATAAATAATAATAATAAAAGAAAAAAAAATAGTAAATATATTTTCTTTTTTGACCCGTTTATGTGATATAAATAATTAAATAAAATAAACAAGAATAAAAATAATATAAAATACAATAATGTAAAGAATAAATTATTTCCGGAATAAACAAATTAAATATATAAATGACTTAAAAAGTTTTGAGACGAATAAAAATTCTAAAAATTGAAAAAACAAAACTGAAGTCAGTGGTAAAATTATTTTATTGTTTCTCGTTTGACTATTATATTAAAAGATCAATGGCAATTAAGAAAATGAGAAAAAAGGAAAAAAAACGAAATAAAATGTGATTATACTGGTGATCAATATTGAATGAAGAAAAAAGAAAACAAACAATAAAAATGAACACAAGAACTTACACACTTGTTTGACTAAGATAAAACAGAATGTGCATGTTGAACGATATTGCGTCATTAAATATGTTCTATCTCCAATTATTATACTTATTTCACTTATTACACCTTTCAATTTTCGCATTAATGTTTAGAAGTAGTAAAGTCTTTTTAACAATAGGCTTTCCAATTTTCCCGCTGCTTCCTGATGTTGCTGCAAAAAAGGAGAAAAAACATCATTATTCACAGTGGAGAAACTGTTGCATCCATATTTTCCAAGAAATAATTTCTCGTTTATATTTTAATTAAATGCACAATTCAAATTTCAGAACATTCAGCATTTTTTTTTCTTTTTGTTTTTCTTTTATGAAATGTGTCAAAGTAAATCTGTAAATTAGAAATGATGAATTAAACATAATAATAAATAAATAAAAATGTTAAAATACAAATATTTTTTAATTTTAATATTTAGTAATAAATTAAAAATCAACTGTTTGAAACAATTAATTTTTTTGTATTCAGTGACTAGAAAATTTATTTGAAAAATTCATTAATTAAAAAATTAAATTTTTTTTAAATTCATTTGCGTATAACATTTTTTTTATGCAATAAATTTTACATTCATCAGTTTTTTTATCAAAAAGCTATTTGAATTCATTTTTCATACTATTACTTAAAATTGTAATATCAGTTTTCTTTATTATTTCTCTTAATAAAAGTAAATTCAGTCTTGCAAAGTTTTTTTTATTTATACTATTTTTGCATAGAATTTGAAAATAATGCTAATTAAAGAAAAAGTTGTTCAATTCTAAACAGTAATACCTATAAATATTTTTATTTTTTTATTTTCAAAATGAAATTTTTTTGTCACTGTATACAAAATACGGAAGTGTTTTAACCTCTGTTGAGATTATTATTGTATTATTTAAACAAAATTATAGCAAGTGCCCCATTAAGAAATAAAAATAAAAGAGTGACTATAAAATTCTAGATCAATTGTTATAAAAATATTGCAAATTTTATCTCATCATTATTTCTTTTTTCTTCTAATTTGTTAACATAATTTTTCATCTTTTTTTTCAAATATTTTCCTAGAATGTCATCACAATTGATCCACAAAGTAAAACCTGCACTCTCGATGGCACCGATACTGGAAAAGTTTATCAATTCGATGCAGCATTTGGTACAGAATCAACAACTGAATCTGTTTACGAAGCCGTGGGTTCTGTTGTTGTCGAAGCAGTTTTGGAAGGCTACAATGGTACAAAAAATAATTAATGTTTAAATTTAGAAATAAGTCATTTCAAATTTTATAAAATAATGTTATGCACGGCAAAAACGATTAGAGTAAATTTTGCTATACTATCAAAGTAAAACCTAAACTCTCATGAATTTCAAAGTTCTATATTTTACTTTTTCCAAGGTGAATTTTTAGAAAACTTAGTACAATTAGAGTTGCCACAAAAATTTGATTTTGTTTTTCCATGAAATTTTTCTGAATTTTTAGATACTTTCTATTTTTAAAATAAAATTAGTTATTGTATCAAACTTCTCTAGATAATTTTCAAAAATATTAATAAAACTGAAATTAAATAGAAATGAAAAATCTACCTAGTATAAAAATTCAATTATCCTAAAAAAATTGAACTAAAATATTTTAAGAACCTAATTTTTCAGAACTGTAAATAAAAACTTTTTGAAATTCACTAATTTCATTAATAAATTTGTTTGTATCAATTTAATTATTTTCAGTCAAATTTTCATCAAATTTATTGAAAGAATTCAATTATTTTAAAAAATTGAAATATAATTCTGGGAAGGATTCAATTATTTCCAAAAACTTTTAATGAAATTCAATAATCAAATTTTTAACAACAATTAATAACAGACATGACTATTTTATAAAGTTGAAAGAAATTCTTCGTAAAATTGAATTATTTTCCAATTTTTCAATAAAAATTATTAAAAAACTATTCTTTTAAAAAAATTTATAGAAATTACTCAAAAGAATTTAATTTTCTATCAACAATTTCAATAGAATTTAATAATATTATTATTAATCACAATTATTAACAAAATTGATCTTAGGTAGGAAAAAAATTAAAGAAATTCTTCGAAAGAATTCAATTATTTTCAAAATTTTAATAAAATTTCTTGAATGAATTCAATTATTTAAAGAAAATGGTAATAAAATTCAATAACCAAATGTTTAATTGCAATTATTATAACAAACACGATAATTTTCAAAACTTGAAAGAAATTCTTTATAGAATTCAATTATTCTATACTTTCAAAATTTTCAATTGAAATTATTAAAAAAACTCGATTATTTAAAAAAAATCATTGAAATTCTTAAAAACAATTGAATTATTTTTATAAAAAATAAAATTCATCATGAAAATTCAATTATTTCAAATACAATTTTAATTGAATTTCTCGAACGATTTCAATTGTTTTCAAATTTCAAATTTTTTGATAAATTCTTCTTAAGAATTCAAGATTTTCAGTACATTAATTTTCAAATTCAAAACATTTAAAAATAAATATTATTAAAAAAGTTAGAAATCAAAAAAGCAAACAACAACTTTTCTTCAAACTGCGAACAAATTACTGGAATACAACGATTATTATTATAGAGAATTGATTTCTTTACAGTAATTAAAATTTTCGAAAAATTTTAATTTAACACCATCAGAAAGTTTGTTACAAACTTAACCGTAAATTGCAATTGTTTTAACTAAAATCTAATATAATTGAATTATATAATTAATAATTTTAAGAAAGTTACTCAAGAATCCAATTATTTAAAATAAATTTAATTATTTAGAGAAATAAGAAGAAAAGGTATAGTTTCAAAAATTGTGATTATGAAAACTTTTTTAAAGTGAAAAAATAATTCAAAGAGAAATCAAGATTTTAAAATTTTTCAAAAATGTTTTTGGACATGAAAAATTTATTATATTAATTGTTAAACTGAGAAAATAAAATTCTTAAAAAGATAAAATTTATTTTAGTGTAATTTAAGAAAATTTCCTATTTTTCAATTTTTTAAAATTATTTTTGAGAATTCAACTATTTTCAAAAAATTTTAATGACGATTTTTTAAAAACCTCTTTTTTTATAATTTCTAAATAAAATTTTTCAAATTTATTAGAATTTTTAAAAATAATTGAATTTATTTCGAGAGATTTTATCAAAATTGTATTAAAATTTGAAAATAATTGAATTCCAGAGAAGAATTTTTTTTATTTATGAAAATAATTGAGTTCTTGCAAACAATTTTATCAAAATTTTTAAAAACTAAATTTTTTTGTAGCAATTCTAGAAATTTGATATTTTTCCAAAACTTTTAATAAAATTCTCTGTCACTTCCCAGAACAGTTTTATTTTTCCTAACTTTTCCCTGATTATTTTGACCTGCGGCGACCGTGAAAATGTACTTATTACGTAGCAAAATTTATTCTCATTACATAAATTGTAAAAGTTGACAAAAAGGGGAAAAAAGTCCTTTTCACTTTAGGTTTTACTTGGTAAATAATAAAAGTTACATTATATTTTTTCCATGTGAATACGTAGACATTTTCAGGCTGCGTCTACAATAGAAAAAAATAATGTGTAATTTGTAGTGTAATGTGTATTGTTTTTGGCATTGACAACTGTCAGGGGCAATTACACTGTATATTACACAATTTTCTACACATTATTTTTTCTGTTGTAGACGCAGCCTCAATGTTTTCGAAATACTTTTTTGTTTAACCCTCTGCCACTCGCATCAGGTTTTGTAACACATACATCCAAAGAATATATAATCTGTTTCAATTTATAAAAGAGGATCGATTTTATAATTATAATTTGATTGAGGTACAGTTTTTCTAAAACGCATTTTTTAATTTTTTATTTTCTAAAACTTTTTTTTCTAATAAAGGTGAATTTCTAAAAATCATTTTTCTAATGAAGGTGATTTTCTAACAAAGGTAATTTTCAAAATTTTTTTTTATCTAACAATATTCAATTTTTAATTCTTTAAAAAAATACTTGAGACTTCGTTAAAAAATTGTAATAAAAAAATAGAAATTTTGCAAAATTTTTTGACAAAATTTGAAAATAATCTCGTTAAAAATCGTAATTAACAAATAGAAATTTATATCTATTCAATATATTTTTTTATATTAATTTTGGAACTTTTGGTATAAAAATGATGCAAATTATTCCTTTTTTTCAAAGAAGAACAGAATTTTGTTAAAAAATTGTGATTAGAAATAGGAATTTATGTATTTTAAGAAAAATTTTTTAAAAAAAATCAAGTGGGTGACAAGTTTTCTCACCATGCGAGTGACGGAGGGTTAAAATTATCCACAAGTTTTGAACGTTCAAATGAAGGAAACATTTTTTATTAAAAATATTTTTATAAATTAGTGTTCGCAATAAAAATTCAAAACTTAAATTTGACACTTAGAAAGTTTAGAATTAATTTTTTTTATAGCGACACAAAATTTAAATTGAAGAAGAAGTAAATAAAATTCGTTCCGGTTCATTTGAACGTTTAGAACTTTAGGATCATGGGTTAAAAAAGAAAAGAGAGAAGAGTAAGTTATAAAGATAAAAAGTAAAAAAATGAATTACTATTTTCACAGCAACTGTTTTCGCATATGGACAAACCGGTTGCGGGAAATCCTTCACAATGCAGGGATTCATTGACCGTGCACTCGAGCATCTATTCGAAGCGACATCGACGAGTAGTCAGGACACGCGATATTTGGCATTGCTCAGCTATTTGGAGATATACAATGAGAAACTTCGCGATCTGCTGCAGGACAGTGGAGGTGAAAATCTCCTTCAATTAAAGGAGGATCCCTCGCGTGGTACTTATGTCGCCGGCGGCCTTAGGGAGGTGACCGTTAAGAATGCAATTGAATGCGGTCGTCTCGTTGAGCAAGGGAATCGTCGTCGAATTGCTGCCGCTACAAAAATGAATCAGGCCAGCTCCAGAAGTCACGCGGTATTAACACTCTCGTTGGAGGCGATTGCAATTAACGACGATGATAAACGTGGCAATGCCGTGAGACGTGGCCGGCTCCATCTCGTTGATCTCGCTGGCTCCGAGAGACAAACGCGAACAGGTGCAACAGGTGATCGACTCAAGGAAGCTGCGAGTATTAATCTCAGTCTCTCAGCGCTTGGCAATGTTATTAGCGCCCTTGCCGCTGGTAATGGTCGTCATGTTCCCTACAGGTTCGCATCTGAAACAAAATTATTGCTAGCAAACTTATTTATTTAAAAAATTATTTTTTATTTATTTATTTATTTTAAAGCAATTTTTTTGACAGTTTTATTATTTTATTTTACTATTTACTTTACTAAACTAATTATTTTCATCCAATTCAATTCTTATTATGTACTTAGTAAATTAATCAACAAACCAGCACAACTAAAAAAATGAATATAGGACAATCCAAAATATCCAAGAAAAAAAATCCAAAGTACAAAAAGTCCAAAGTGAAAATGTCCAGAGTAAAAAAATCCAAAAAAAATAGTAAAAAATATATGTTTCCTTGATATATTTATAAGAAATAAGTCAATCGCATTTTATTTTAATACAATGATGTCCTTTAGGTTTATTTCGTTTATATTCACCTTTACAATGTGAATATTGTGACCAAATAATTTGATATACATATTTCTAATTATAAAAAAACACAACCGCATAAATAGAAATTACAATTTCAGTCAACGTAATAGCGATTCATTTTTTTCTATTCTTTGGAAAAAAATTATTTAAAACAAAGAATTTAGCAATAAATTTTATTAATTAAGAGTCAGAATTGATCGATCACTCGAAGTGATCGATAAATTCTGACTCTTAATTATTAAATACTGGCGAAGTGCCGACTGATCAATTCAATCTAGGTACATATTAATAAGTATTATTATTAATTAAAATTATTAAAAAATTATTTACCTATCTGTCTATTTATTTACTTCTTTATGTCTTTTCTACTTACATTACCTACATTTCTTAGTTTGGATTTTTTGATTTGGACTTGTTGATCAGGACAAAAAATCCAATACAAAAGGTCATAAGTGAAACTATTGTTTTTCTTATTTTTTTGAACTTCATTAACTTTGGACTTTTTGTCTTGGACATTTTCGTTTGGACTTTCTGTTCAAAAACCCTAAAAAATTTTAAAGCCCATATTATTGTTACTTACAAAAGCTTTCTTTTTGAAAAACGAAAATTTATTATTTTTTTTCGAAATATAATTCTTAAAAAATACAATTATTATATGTCAAAACAATTTTTAAAGGCAGTAAAATTAAATTTCTTCAAATATAAAATTTATTTCAATGAAATTTGACAAAACTTTTAATTGTTTCTATTTTTAAAATTATATTTTCGGGAATTCAATTATCTTCAAAAAAAATTTTAATTAAAATTTGTTCAAAAACCTAAGTCTTTTTAGAATTTCTACATTAAATTATTCAAAATTTTAATAATTTTTGTTAAACAAATATTTAAAATCTTATTGCAATTTAGTTTAATTGAAATCTCTTATTATATTAAGTTGAAGAACGACCGACCGACCGACCGACCGACCGACCGACCGACCCTAGTCGTATATATATGTATATCTTTTAAAAATAATATTAACACAAATGTATACATATTCACAAATCACGCATGCGCAGTAGTGTTATATCAATGTCAGGCATGCGCAGTAGTGTTCTGTCAATGTCAGGCATGCGCAGTAGTGTTCTGTCAATGTTACGCATGCGCAGTAGTGTTCTGTCAATGTTACACATGCGCAGTAGTGTTCTATCAATATTAGGCATGCGCAGCAGTGTTCTGTCAATGTTACGCATGCGCAGTAGTGTTCTATCACTGTTACGCATGCGCAGTAGTGTTCTGTCAATGTTACGCATGCGCAGTAGTGTTCTGTCAATGTTACACATGCGCAGTAGCGTTCTGTCAATATTACACATGCGCAGTAGTGTTCTGTCAATATTACACATGCGCAGTAGTGTTCTGTCAATATTAGGCATGCGCAGTAGTGTTCTGTCAATATTACGCATGCGCAATAGTGTTCTATCAATATTACGCATGCGCAGTAGTGTTCTATCAATGTGAGGAATGCACAGTAGTGTTCTATGAATATCAGGCATGCGCAGTAGTGTTCTGTCAATATTACACATGCGCAGTAGTGTTCTATAAATATCAGGCATGCGCAGTAGTGTTCTATGAATATCAGGCATGCGCAGTAGTGTTCTATCAATGTGAGGAATGCGCAGTAGTGTTCTATGAATATCAGGCATGCGCAGTAGTGTTCTGTCAATATTACGCATGCGCAGTAGTGTTCTATAAATATCAGGCATGCGCAGTAGTGTTCTATGAATATCAGGCATGCGCAGTAGTGTTCTATCAATGTGAGGAATGCGCAGTAGTGTTCTATGAATATCAGGCATGCGGAGTAGTGTTCTGTGAATATCAAGCATGCGCGCATAACACCCACACATGTATACTCACACATATACACTAATCACATGTACATGTATACTCACACATGTACATAAATTACATACACATGTATACTGCTCATATGCAGATATAAACTCCTACATATACACAAATCACATATATGTATAGATTTAATAAACGATTGATAATATAAATTGTTGAATTTTTTAAGGTTCGTTGATGCACGTAGTGTCTGTTGAAATTTTCTTAAATATACGTAAATACCTCACTCGCTGATGCTGCGCTGTCTGTGTTGTAATGGAACTTATTTATTTACTTGTGTATTTACTTATTTATTTCAGGGTTGCCACAAGACATCGATTTTAAAATTCCATGACTTTTCCAGGTTTTCCAGACCATTTCTTAAAAAATTCCAAACCAGAAATAAAATTGTTTTGGTATGTTTTTAGCTAATTACGACAAAAAGTATAAAATCCTTTAAGTAAATTGTTAACAAAATAAGTTATTAATTTTTAATTTCATTAATAACAAAAATTTAAGTTAAAATTTGTGAGATTATTTGAGATACGCTCCGAAGAAAGATGAGGAGCAAATCTTTTTAAATTTAAAAATTTAGTTTAGTTTAGAATTTTTCACAATTATTAAACAAGTATTTTAAGCATTTTAATAACATTTTATGAAACTGAAGTTACCTACGTTTATTCAATGACAATTTTTCCTTTGCTAATTATTTATTTTAATGTTAGAAGCCTTTTAAAAAATTTCAAAAGATCGAAGTCGGGGAAATTATTAATTTTGATTTTTTACACAGATTTTCGAAAAATCCATATATTATTTAAACAAAATTATTATTTCCTAACCTCATAAGCAATTTTTTCTTTTACAAATTATTTATTTTAATGTGACAAGTCATTTAAAAAAATTGTAAGAGGATCTAAGGAAAGCAAGGAAATCAGTGATTTTTAATTATTTTTTTCGTAGATTTTCCAAATATCCCGAAATTTCAACTAAATTATTATTTCCTCGCTTCAGAAGCAATTGTTTTCGATTGCAATTTTTTAAAGGGCTTCTTACATTAAAAAAACAATTAGCAAAAGAAAAAATTTTCATTGCATAAAAGTTGGTAGCTTCAGTTTCATAACATTTTGGGGTTTCTAAAATGTATTAATTTAAAAATTATTTAAAGGAAGATAGAGACCAAAAGAAACTAAAATTTAGAAATGCCATATTGATTTCAATTGTAAGCACTAAATTTAAAATCAAAAAGTTGTATAATGTCAACTTGAAAACTTAAAATTTTTACGACTCAAATACAAAAAATTGAGCTTTTAGTATCAGGCTTTGTAAAATTCCCTGACAATTCCAGATTTTTCAGGTTTTCCATGACTGAAAAAAAATTCCATGACAATTCCGGGTTTCCCAGGTTTTCCAGGTCCGTGGCAACCCTGTATTTGTTTGACAGACATCAACAATAATTTTTTAAATGGATAATCAGTGAAAATGACTTATATTTCTGTAAGTTAGTGTTTCACTTCGATCCGAGAATTTCATTTTTTCGAGCGATTATTTGGTTATCGTCTTTGGTTTTCAAACGATCATCTCGTTTATTCTTTTGTTAATTGTCAAATCGTATCGTCTAATTTTCTAATTGTCATCGACCGAACTTCTCGACTGCTTCTCGACTTTCCCATAACTGACAACTAAAAATAATACAATAATAACCTATTTTTTGAAAAAAATCGATATCCAAAAACATTTAAATTCTTTTTTATTAATTCTATTAAAAACTAAAATTAAATTCATTTTAGTGAATTAAAATTATTATATCAAGTTAAAAATTAATTCAAGGTGTCTAGTGAATTATTATTTTCAAATTCCCGGACCAAAAATAAATATTCCCGGATTGATTTTTTAAAACAGCAATAACTATAAAATTTAAATATTAATACTTTAATAAAGAAATTTTTAAGAAAATCAATTTTAAAAAGACAATAGACATCTTTATTTAGAGAAATATATATAATATTACTTGTTATATATTACTTAATAAGTCTAACATTGTAATAGTTAGATCTAAATTTAAAATTAACCTACTTTTTTATTTTTCTATTAGTTGGGCTTTTTTGCGGAGTATTATTATTATTTTTAATTGTGTATTTAAATAATAAAAATTAAAAATAATTATTTTTAATTTTTATTATTAAAAAAAAAAAAGTTGTCTGTTCATTGAACAAGACCTACATGTCTTATAGTATTTTGGCCCCCTGAATACGAATATGAAGTCAGAATTGCTCCATCACCCTCTGTTTTTTTTTAAATCGAAAAAACTACCCTTAAGTCTAAAATTCAAGAATTAAAGTAAAAAAAATAAAAACACTGTTTTCTTCGGAGTAGAAGAATATATTTATGCGTTTTCTTCTTTTAAAAACTCAGAAATAATGTCAAAATTGCTCCACCACCCCTGTTTTTTTTAAATCGAAGAAACTACCCTTAAATCTAAAATTCAAGAACTAAAGTAAAAAAAAATGAAATAACCGGTTTTCTTCGGAGTAGAAGAATATATTTATGCGTTTTCTTCTTTCAACAACTCAGAAATAATGTCAAAATTGCTCCACCACCCCTACTTTTTTTAAATCGAAGAAACTACCCTTAAATCTAAAATTCAAGAACTAAAGTAAAAAAAATGAAATGACCGGTTTTCTTCGGAGTAGAAGAATATATTTATGCGTTTTCTTCTTTCAACAACTCAGAAATAATGTCAAAATT